AAGGGCAACGACAAGGAGGCAATCGCCTATCTCGGTGAGGAGTGGTGGCGCCACCCCGATCACATCGAGATCAGCATGCACGAGTACATCGGCAAGCTGACGAAGCAACCCCTTGCAAGGGGTGACAACGAGGAGCGGGAGATGACTCCCGAGGAGCACCACGACTACCGGAGCTTGCTCCAGAAGGTGCGGTGGCCTGTCGCACGCGTGGTGCCACAACTCGCGTATAGTGTCTCGGCGCTCGCACAGAAGGATCCGAAAGGTCGGAGGTTGCTGCACCTGCGAGTGCTCAATGACATCATCGACCGGCTTCAGGACTACGACAAGAGAGGTCTTGCGACTCTCCGGATCCGCCGTGTGGACATCGAGCGCTTGCAGGTGCTCACGCTTATGGGCGCTTCGTTTGCGAAGGAACCCGGCTGTAAGAGCCAGATGGGGTTCATGAGTATGATTACGGACACCCGAGTTTTGAAGGAGCTAACCGTATGCTGTCTAGTGGAGTTTCAGAGCAGTACTATTACACGAGTTGTTGGATCTACGATGGCCGCAGAATCTGCGGCTATGTCCGTGGCTTTGGATCGGCAGCTTTACCTCAGGCTGCTGATTGAGGCAATCTTGTACGGGGAGCCGCCCTTGCAAGGGGACTGGAGGCTGGCGCTGAAGGTTCCAGGGGCGCTCGTGACGGATGCGAAGTCGCTCTACGATCACACGTCCAAGATCGGGTCGATGCCGGTGTCTCGGCAGACCCTCATTGACTTGCTGGTGGCCAAGGATTTGATAGAGCAGGAGGCCATCAAGTTCAAGTGGCTGCCTAATAGCCACATGCTAGCGGATGTGTTGACAAAAGCCGTGCAGCCTAACGAGGTACTATCGCAGTTCCTCCGCCACGGCCTGTTCAGCATGGTGCCTACTGCTGAGCAAGAGGATGAGGAGGCACACCGTCTGCGGCTGCGCCGCGGACAGCGTGAGCGAGCCAAGGAGCGGAAGGCCCAGCGTCGGGTCGCCGTTCCAGGGCCTGCGAGCCCGTGAGGTCCTGATTGCAGCTGCTGATGGACCTAGTGAGGGCTACGGTGATGTATGCATATCTTTTGAGTTGATCGTCTGGAGTAGTGTATCCAGATATTCATATTCTTGTATTTATATTTTGAGCCTCAGGCCGCACCTTGCTTGAGGTGTCTCATGCATATCTTTTGAGTTGACAGTCTGGATTGGTGAATCTAGACATTCATATTTATATTTCGAGCCTCAGGCCGCATCTGCTTGAGGTGTTTCGGCCCGCGGGCTGATATACATTATAATTGCGTGCAGCGTTGCCCTTTCAGAGGGAGCGGCATCGGGGCAGCATTGTACTCACCCAGTGTGAAGAGTGCACTCCCCTGCCCCTCTGCCGCCCGTGCCACCATGTGTGTATGTTGAACACGCTTGTCTTGTTTTGTGGCATGCGCGCTGCCCGCCGCTGTTTTGGCCCTAGTCCTAGGGCCCTGGGACGCACCCGCAGTTGGACTGCCGCGCGGTCTTTGCTGAAAACAACTGCACTGACACCAGGGTCCAGCTCGATCCGATCTTGGCCGCCCCGGTCCGATTCGATCCCGATGCGCCGACGATCGGGCGTGGCCCACTTGCTTGCGCGGCGCGCCCCGGCGCTGCCTCCTCCTCCTCCTCCTCCTCCTCCTCCTCCTCCTCCTCCTCCCTCCCTCCTCCTCCTCTCCTCCTCCTCCTCCTCCCCCCCTCCTCCTCCTCCTCCTCCTCCTCCTCCTCCTCCTCCTCCTCCTCCTCCTCCTCCTCCTCCTCCTCCTCCTCCCGGGCTCGTTTCGGCTTCCGTTCCGTGCCGGCGCGGCCCAGTGCTGGCGGATGCTGCGTTCTGCCCCTGTGGCATACCTGGGTGCTGGGCCGACTTCCCGCCACCACTACCATAGGGAGGAGGAAGAGGAGGAGGAGGAGGAGGAGGAGGAGGAGGAGGAGGAGGAGGAGGAGGAGGAGGACCTCCCCATCCTCCCGTCTCCGCCGTCCTACCTTTTGTAGCGGTGGTGGAAGATGGGCCCACCAGTGGGGGGCCTCCAGCGTCTCCTGGGGGGCCGGGCGCGCGGCGCACCCGAGACGCTGTCCTCGGCGAGGTGCCCGTCGGCTACTACACGCAGGTGCTGGGGCTGGGCGACGTCCCCGGGGAAGTCGTCTTCACGTCGGGCCAGGCTGGCTACAGGTCGTCGGGCAGCGTCAGGAGGGGGAGGAGGAGGAGGAGGCGGCGCGGCGCGGCGCGGACTTCGGCGCGGACTTCGGCGGAGCAGACCGCCCTTGCGCCCGCACGCCTGAGGAGGCGGCGGAGGCGGAGGCGGCGGCGGCGGCGGAGGCGGAGGAGGACGGGGAGGAGGAGGAGGGGGCGGAGCATCGACCCCAAGTCGCCCACTCATCTCGCAGATCGGGGCCTTCGCTCCGCTGCACGCCCAGGAACGGCCGCGCGGTTTCGCTGTTGGGGGCCGATGGGAGACCTGTCAGCGATGTGTCGCCGATTCCAGGTCACCGATCCAGGTTGCCCAGGCCACCTAGGTTGTTACCTAGGTTCGACCTGGGTTGCCTGGGTTCGACGTAGGTTACCTAGGTTCGACCTAGGTTGACCCAGGTCGCCTAGATTCGACCTCGGTTACCTAGGTTCGACCTAGGTTGCCCAGGCCATCTAGGTTACCTAGGTTCGACCTAGGGTCGACCTAGGTTGACCTAGGTTGCCTAGGTTCAACCTACCTAGATTGACTCAGGTTCCTGGTTCCCCCCCCCCCTGAGCCAGCCTCCCCTTACCGCTTCCCTTGGACAAGGGGCGTCTACTGCCTGGAGGCCAACTACGACGCCAGCGTGGGGGCCCTGAACACGTTCTGGAGGGGTGCGGAGAACTTCTCGGCGGCGCGCCCGGGGGGGGGGGGGAAGTGAGGGGGGGCATGCCTCTCCAGAAGTCGGCAGGGCTTTTCGGAAGCCCTCCTGCCTTCTCAGAAGCCGTCTCTCTATCTTGGGAGAAAACTTTGGAGGCTTCCCACACAGAGGCCCTCGGAGTCTTCTGAGAAGGCCCGCCTATCTCCCCAGACTGGGGTCCCCAGACCTCCGATGCTCCGTTTTTTTAAACGGGGCCTCCGGAGTTCTGGACCACTTCCTGGAGGCCGAGTTTTTCCAAATGGTCCTGGGTCCCAGCGATGGCCCCCAGAGGCCAAAAATTGCGAAACACCGCATCCTGCCTTTGCTCAATACGTTGGAGGTCTGCGTCAGGGGTGGACCCAAACGGTGTTTGGGCGATCTCGTGGGCCGTTTTCGTTTCGATGTCGTTCTGCGGTAAAGGCGGACTGACGATAGCGCGAGTAGGGGGCCACATGCGAACCCTACCCCTCCCCCCCACGATTTCTGAGGGGGAGGGTGAGGTTCACTTCGTTCGGGAGCTCCCAAGCGAAGTAAACCCCACCCTCCTCAGAAATCGTGGGGGGTAGGGGTAGGGTTCGCATGTGGCCCCCTAACGAGGGAGAACGAAAACAAAACGAACACGAAGAACACCGTGCAGGTTCGGCTCTGGTCTGCGTCTGCCTCCACCCCGAGGATCTCCTGAGCCTTCCACGAAGGCCCACCCCCCCGACGCCTGGCGGCTCCTCCTCCTCCTCCTCCTCCTCCTCCTCCTCCTCCTCCTCCTCCTTCTCCTCGTCCTCCTCCCACTCCTCCTCCTCCTCCTCCTCCTCCTCCTCCTCCTCCTCCTCCTCCTCCGCTTCTCCTCCTCCTCCTCCTCCTCCGCCTCCTCCTTCTCATCCCTTCCTTCTCCTCCTCCTCCGCCTCCTCCTCCTCCTCTGGCTTCTCCGCCCCTCCCTCCTTCCTCCTCCTCCTCCTCCTCCTCCTCCTCCTCCTCCTCCCCTCGTCCTCCCCTTCCCCCTCCTCCCCCATCCTCCTCCTCCTCCTCCTCCTCTCCTCCTCCTCCTCCTCCTCGGGGCCGGACGAAAGGGGGGGATAGGGAAAGGGGGGGGTACCAATTCTGCTGCATGCAGCTGGTTTCGGCCTCACCGAGGGGCCCATTCCTTGATCCATGGCCGCTTCCAGCGCCTGGAGGCGCCGGGAAAATCGTCAACGCGAGCTGGTTATAAAATCCCCCCTATGCTTTCCCCCCCTTTCGCCCGGCCCGACTTAGGTGTTCCATCATAGACCCCTTCTGAAGCGCAAGCGTCCAGCTTTCGCGCCGAAGACCGCAGGAAACCGCCGAAGACCGCAGGAAACCGCCGAAGACCGCAGGAAACCGCCGAAGGCCGCCAGAAACCACCAGAAAACGCCGAAGACCGCTTCAGGCAGACGGGCAGCAGGGGATTCGTGGTTGAATGCGTCACGAAGAAGGGATGGTTTACCCAAGAGTTCTATGGAGTCTACAAGAAGTGCCCAGAATTCCCCGTAGATGTATCAACATTCTGCGTCTTTCTCGTCGATCCGACGAAAACAATTCTGGGGTAAATCAAGTACACCAGAGAAAAAACTCAATCAGTGGATGGTTGTCGCTATAAGGAGATCGACTGGGAACCCGGGAACCCGGGAACCCAGAGCCCACCGAAATCGGCCCGGAACCAATAACCAGGCATCCCGGAACCCGGAACCGGGAACCAGGGGAACCCAGCCGGCTACCAACATCGGCGGGACTTTTTTCGCCAAATCTTTCGATATCCGCTAGGGCCCCTTCAGTGCAAGCACAGATTGGGGAATTTCATCGTCGATCTCCTACACGCCGGGCGAAGAAACTATGCACATGCACCGATGCTGGCCAGGCCCATCCTTGGCCCAGGATTGGTGCATGTGACTTCCTGGCCAAGGCAGGAGGGCGTATGCACCGATCCTGGGCTCAGGATGGGCCTGGCCAGAATCGGTGTATGTGCATGGCTCTTTTCCTTTACCTTCAGTGCAAGCACAGATTGGGGATTTTTTTAGTCGATCTCCTACTCGAACGTAGCCTTCCCCCCTCGGGCGTGTCGCCGATCTTCCTGAACGACGCCTCGAAGGCCTGGTTCGGCGGCTTCAGCGGCATGCTATGGGCCGCCTCGCAGGCCGCACCCCTGCGGCGCGTGGTGGTCGCCCGGGACCTGCTGCTGTTCCAGTGCCCTCCTCGACCTCCTTTCGGTTCTTCGAACCTGCGAGCAGCGTGGCGGACCTCTGCTGCGATGCGCACATTCCAGCGCAGGGGGCGTTCGGGGCGCATTGTTTCAGTCGTTTTGTTATGTCTTCTCGCTCCGAAAGCGAAGTTCAGACCTCTTTTTTTTGTTGGACGATTGTCTTCTTTTTCCGCTCGTCGATGATTTGGTGGCAGCTCGCTCTTCGCGCGTGCCCCAAGATCGATGCATTTGTCGGCGACCGTTCACAACACCACCGACAGCAATTTTTACTCACATATGTATATATATATATACATCTATATACACATATGCATTTATATATATATATATGTATATACACATATATATTTGTATATACATATACACTACTATCGTTTCCTTCACAGCAGAGACCAGCCACGACGAGTAGGGGTTCGACTACAGAGTTGATTTACCCCACACTTGGAATTTCGACCAAGAAAAATACGTGGAGTGTTCGTAGATGTACTCGCTCTGCGTAGTCTCGACGAAATCAAGTTTGAGGGTCATCAATTCTGCAGCCGATTCCCCAGTCGAGTTCTCCCCGATCGGGCCAGGTCGTGCTCGCATCAAGAACAAAAGAAAGGCGGGCTATATGTTGTTGATTGTTTTGATTTTCGGCCTCTGGGAGCCCCATGTCAGGCCTCGGGGCCGTCAAACAACGATCCAGGATGAAAAACTTACCCCAGGGACTTGGGGGGGACCAGGGCTTTGGGGCACCACGTTATGAACAAATCACGACGCCAGGGGTCTGGGAAGGTATCCTCCACCCTCGAAGGTGCCTGGTTCCCCGATCCCGATCCCCCTCGTCGTACCCTCCTCGAAAGTACCCTCCACGATCCCCCGAGGTACCGGCTGCCCGACTCGATCGCCGGCCTGTCCAGCGGTGGGTTCATGGCGAACTCGGAGGTGCGAGGCGACGTCCGCGGGGGCTCGGAGCTCGGGGCCCTCAGCCTCAAAGGAGGAAAGCACGTCGATACCACGAGCTCCTCCCTCCTTCCCTCCTCCTCCTCCTCCTCCTCCTTCCTCCGTGGCAAGTTTGGCTCAAGCCTGGGACAGGCCCAGCATGGAGCGTGGCCGCCCGTCGTGCTGGCTTCTCCAGCAGCTCAGAGGCTTGCAGACACCCTTCAGGAGGGGAAAAACACACAGACACAATTACTCGTCGATTCCCAGAAAGTATGGGAAAATATGGGCAGTGGTGGGGACGACAGAAACCCAGAAAATATAGGAAAATATGGGGAATCTTTTTATTTGTGTGTATTTATTTGTGTGTCCCAGGGCCCCTTCAACCCTGCTTCCCCTCGCTCTCTGCCACACTTCACGGCACATGTGGATGCTCCCATGGACTCGCAAGAGGCTCAGGAGCTGGCCGTCGCCATCGAAGCTGCTCCCACTTTCCCGTCACTGGACCGCGGTAAAGGTAAAGGTGACGCACGTGCTGTCTCTCGCAAGCTTGATCCTGGTGATGTCGCTCGCTCTGACCCTCCTGATGACGATCTCTCATCCGAGGAGTTTCTGCGACAGTTGTGCCGAGAGGAGTTCTCCAACATGCGTTCCGCCCTCTCATCCGAGATCGGGACCTCCGTCGCAGGTACGATCAACGCTAATCACAACGCGCTACAGGACATGCTCTCCCAGATGCAGGCCGCAGTTGCTAAGCAGACGTCCGGTGTGCAGCAGCAGATTCAGAGCGCCATCGCGCCGAGGCTCGACGCTCTCCATCGTAAAATGCAAGCCCAGCTCGACGACCACGCCGGCCTACGATCGTCTGCCCAGCGCCGCCTCGACTCGCGTGACACAGAGATTGCTGAGCTGCGCTCCCAGATGGACGCCCTCCGCAGGGAGTTTGCCCTCGCCGGCGAGAAGCCGAAGCCGAAGCCTCAGGCCGCCGCCCCGCCCTCGTTCGACCGTGGCGCCGACCCCGCCATGCTCGTCGCCGTGTGTCGGAAGGTCACCACCATCGCCAGCGTCCAGCTCGCTGTCGCCCCGTGACCCGAGTCTCTGGCTTGGGCCCAGTGCGTTCGCCGTGCCGCGCTTGGTCTGTCAGGAGGGAACAAAAGCACACAGACACAATGAATCGTCGATTCCCCAGGAAAGATGGGAAACTATGGGAAGTGGGGGGAAGACAAGAACCCAGAACATCTGTAAAATACTTGGGAATCTTGTTTTTTATGTGTCTTTATTTGTGTGTCCCAGGGCCCCTTCAGTCTTCATCGCGTAAAACTTGCGTCGTGCTGCGCCGTGCTTAGTCATCAGAGTGCGGCAGCTGTAATGGCCGTGCCCTTGCCCGCGTGCCGCGCCGTGCCGCTCCTGGCTGTCAGGGTGCGGCACGTGCGCGGTGCCGCGCCGCGCCGCGCCCGCGCGCCGTGCCCCGTGCGTGCCGCGCGCAAATGTTCTTGGCGTCGCTCGGACGTGGGCACTTCTCTCGGCGAGAACCATCGAGGACTATCCTGGACCATCGAGCAAACAAACACGCACGAAACCGAACAATGCACGTGAAATGGACGTCCGAGCGACGGCAAGTGTTTGGGCAAGAGGGAGAGGTGGCCAGGTTGAGCACAGACGGAGGGAGGGGGAAGGAGGAGCCAGTGAGGAATGATGGACGGGTGGAGGAAGATGCGAAGCAGGAAGGCAGGAGAGAGGGGGGGCCAGGGTGGATAACGATGGAGTGAGAAGGATGGAGGAGTGAGCGAGAAGTGATCGATTCCCCAGTCAGAGCTTGCCTCTGCAGGGGTCTTAGCGGATTCAAATGGTTAGGTGAGGTGGGCCGCCCATTTCGGTGGCCGGGCCGGGGTGCCCAGGTGCCCGGGTGCTCTATCGCCCGATAGCCCTATAGCTTGATAGCCCTATAACCCCATGGCCCTGCAACCCCAAAAAATGATGGGGGCTTTTCTCCGGTATCATAGAAACAGGTGCGAAGCAAAACGGCAAGACGGACGGAGGACTGAGGAAGGTCTGTCGGGTGAAGGGGTTGAGGGAGTCAGGATGAGGATGGATGAGGGACGGAGAGATGAGGGTGGAAGGTTCGAGAGGTGAGGGTGGAAGGGCGAGGGGCGCGAGGAGAGTGACGAGGAAGAGGGGGGGAGGAGGACAAGGAGTACAGAGGGGGAGTGTAATCCGGTGAGCGGTGGAAGGAGGGTGGAGGGGGAGGAGGCGGATGACGATGACGGTGGTGGTGGTGGTGGTGATGGTGACGGTGATGGTCATAATGACGATGAGGGTGACGGTGATGGTGGCGCGACGCTCGCCTTACGAAAAAGGCACAATTCCATCCAATTTGTTCATAAAGAGTATGTATACGAATACATACGTGGGCATCTAGACGCGTGTACATCTGTATCAGTGAATATGCTTCCCTCTCTCCTCCAACCCTGGGGAGAGGGGGGGGACGGGCCGACGCGTGGTGCGGGCCCGCGAGTCGTTGCCGCTCCCTCCGCCAGGAGCAGCAGTATCTGAGCCGCAACAACAGGAGCCTAATCTTAGATACCCATCGGTCGTTGAAAGTTGGGATTGTTTGGATTCCCATGTTCCAATCTACTTTGAGCGCCTTTCTACTTCAATGGTCGAGTTGCTTCACCTTTTCCGTCCGCCCAAGGGGGTGGACTGAACCCAATCTATTTCCAACGCCTTCTTACTTCATTTTGCGACCTACAGTCGGGGCGCTCACTCAAGGAACCCTGAATAAGGAACGAGGCCCCTTTTCCCCATGGAGAGCCTCAGGAAGCTGCTAAACAATCAAGGAACACCGAGCCACTCCCCAACGAAAAGGGTTCCTCCTTCAGCGCTCTAACTGTACTTCTTCTGACCGATGGGTATTTGCAGACGCAAGCTTTCGAATGGCCGCGCGGAGTTCTGGGATCGGTGTTGGACCCCACCGGCGGCGCGCCCAGCGCCCGCCCTTGGGTTCGATTCCTATGCCCTCCACCTTCCTCCACTCTCTTTCCTCTCCTCCTCCTTCCTCGCCCTCCTCCTTCCTTTCATCCTTCTCCACCTCCCTTCTCCCTCCTCCACCGTCTTGATCATCCCTGTCTTCTTTTTCCCTCCTTGCCCTTCCCTGGCGCGCGATGCGCGCCAGGGCCGCCGCCAGCGGGGTCCAGCGCCGGCCCAAGAAATCCGCGCGGACCTTTGCAAGTTTACGAGCGTGCAGTCTTGATGTGTCCGCCGAAGGAACACGAAGTGGCGCGACGGGGTCTGGAACATGGTCTTCGTGGGCTCGCAGGGGGCGCCCGCGAGCCACTGCGGCGCCGACGACTTGGTTCTCCCGCTGCTCCTCAGTCCTCGTCCTGCCTGCCCTCCCCCCCCTCCCCTCGCCTGCATCCGTCCCCCTCCGCCTCCTCCCTCCTCCCACCCGTTCCCCCCTCTCGCCCCCTCCTTCTCCGGGCCCCCCAGGTATGCCCCTCAACGCCACGCGGTTGCGATGTGCTCGTCGTCTGAAGGACGGGCTTTGGCCCGAATGTTCGCCGCTGGCTCGGGGGAATCCTTCGTGGTTCGAGGTGTCACTTGTTTTTCTCTGATTTGCACCGCGATGTGCCCATACCATTCAACTCCCTCCTGCCATCCCTGCCTAAAGAAGCCAGGTCAAGAGGACTAGCCAAAACAACCATACTGCACCCTCCCCCAAACGCGGACTACCCACCTAAGGTCACCCGAACCTCGTTGACACCGAGCCCAGCCCGCGCGGAATTGGCGTGACACTTGCATTCTGGCGACACGCTTGTCTGGAATTGATGCCGCGGCCTGTGCGTGGGCCGCTTGCTTGATTGACAATTTTTCTTGCCGCCTATGCGCCGGCGACATTCTTCATTGAGCATGCCGTTCTCGCCTTGGCGCTGGCCGCATGTCTGATTGGGAGTGTTGCTGTCGCCTGGGCGCCGGCAATGTTTGAGCATGTCGATCTCGCCTTGGCGCCGGCTACATCTCTGATGACAAATGTTGCTGTGGCCTTGGCGCTGGCGACATCCTTCATTGAGCATGGGGTTCTCGCCCTGGCGCTTGCCACATCTGATTGAAAGTGGTGATGTCGCCTAGGCGCCAGCGACATCCTTCATTCAATATGTCGTTCTCGCCTTGGTGCTAGCCACAGGGAGAGTGTTTCTGTTGCCCAGGAGACAGCGGCATCCTTCATCGAGCATCCCGTTCTCGCCTTGGCGCTGGCCGCATGTCTGCTTGGGAGTGTTGTTGCCGCCTTGGCGCCGGCGGTCATTGAGCGTGTCGTTCTCGCCTTGGCACAGGCCACATCTCTGATGACAGAGAGTGTTGCTGTGGCCTTGGCGCCGGCGACATCCTTCATTGCGCATGCCGTTCTCGCCTTGGCGCTGGCCACATCTGACTGAAAGTGGTGCTGTTCTCAAGGCGCCAGCGATCATTGAGCGTTTCGTTCTCGCCTTGGCGCCGGCCACATCTACGTTTGAGAGTGTTGCTGTGGCCTTGGCGCTGGCGACATCCTTCATTGAGCATGCCGTTCTCGCCTTGGCGCTGGCCACATCTGATTGCGAGTGGTGCTGTTGCCTATGCGCTGGCGACACCCTTCATTGAGCGTGTCGTTTTCGCCTTGGAGTGTTGCTGTCGCCTAGGAGACAGCGGCATCCTTCATTGAGCATGTCGTTCTCGCCTATGCGTGGGACACTTTTGTGATTGAGCATAAGTTGCTGTCGCCTAGGTGCTGGCAACATCCTTCATTGAGCGTGTCGTTATCGCCTCAGCGCCAGCCACATCCATGATTGCGAACGTTGCGCTCACTTCAGCTCTGGCCGCATCCACGATTGCGAAAGTTGTTCTCGCCTCAGCGCCGGCCAGATTCTTCAGTGGAGCCGAAGATCACGGATGCAGTTTGTATGTTTGCATTGCATGTTGCTGTGTCGCTCCACTCTGGCGCATAATTTGCTACATCGCGCGAGTGAAACACTAGTGTCGCCGAGACGTTGGGCACGTTATCGTCAATGGTT